GTCTCCGCTTTTTTACATAACATCACACAAGGTGTTCCCGGAAACAGGTATTTTCCACCATAAAGGCATCATCCCAAAACAGGAGAAGCTCTAAGCTGCCAACTGGTATCGCCAGCATGTGTGGTAGTGTGTAATGTAAAATTTTACATGTAAGTGAAGTGTGAGTAAATAAGGGCTGAGATTAGGCAAGAAAGAAAAGAAAAAAATGTGTGCAGTCCGTTGCTGTTGTTAGGGTACTGCTTGCAGTACTACGCTTGTGTTAATTTGGAGAACCCAGAAAACTACGTTCAGGGAGACAGGATAGAGAAGGAGAACGGGAAGAAGCAGTGGGGAAGGAAAGGAGAAGGGGAAAAGGAAAGGAAGCAGTGGAGGGAAGGAAGGAGGTGAAACGCAGGGGAAGGAGAGGGAGTGAAAACGCAGGGGTAAGGAGAGGGAGTGACAAGAAGCCCAGAGAGGAGGGCGATGGGAGTGACAAAGCAGAGGGGAGGGAGGGGAGGCGAGGGTAGAGGAAGTGACAAAGCAGAGGGGGGAGGAGAGGAAGTGAGAAAGCAGAGGGGAGGGGAGGAGAGGAAGTGACAAAGCAGAGGGGGGAGGAGAGGAAGTGAGAAAGCAGAGGGGGAGGAGAGGGAGTAAGAAAACAGAAGGGGAGGTGTGTTGTCATTGCATGCAGTTTTAGTAGCCTGATGGTGCTCTCTCTGACTGCAGTAGTGTGTTAATTCATTTACATATTTATTACAATTCCTTGCAAAATGAAATCTGGATAATCTAATTTTTCATGTATTTGAGATAATCTTTATCCCAATTACCATGGACAATCGCAAATCTACTCTAACTTGAAAATGTAAATTCTCAGTTGTAAGTGAGTGAGTAAATTATAAACTATTTGTGGTACAATGAACCATCCAGAATGGGTGTTCATTCTGTATCCCTCAACCCAAAGAGCAAATGCCCATACATATATCCTTTTATTTTTTCCTATGTATACCAGTTACAGTAAAACCCCACTTTTACATAATCGCAATTTTTGATTTTCTGGCATTTACATTATTTGTCAGTCCCATCCACTTTCGTATATATATTTACAATATTTGGAAGACCATGCTTCTACGTTAATATTATTTCAATTGTCCCGCAATTTACAACAGTCTGCTTGCTACAAGTCTGGAAAGCACTTCTGTTCTGAACATTGCCTTGTCTGTGAGAAGCTATGCGTTATAACATAAGGGACAAGTATTTTGGTAGTGATAGTTATAGCAGAGCCAGTCATGTCAGCTGCGCCGGTTTGTCGGCAACATAAGTAAGATGTCTCGAGCTAAAAAATGTATTTTACAATTTCTTTGCTCTGAATGTCGTGATGGTCTTAAAAACCAACAGAAATTGATAGCAAATCTGACCATGTAGACACAGGAAGTTAAAGAGTTTAAAAGTTATATACAAGGCATTGTAACAAACTCAGCACTATCAGCTGTTTCATCTGAAATGAGTGCAATAAGTCAATTTGTAATTATGACTCAGTCAAGTATTATACAAGAAATCACATAGAGAAAGAATCACAGAAATAAAATTATTTTATTCAATTTAGCCAAGTCACATTTGTCGATCACCTCTGAAAGAAAGAAATTTGATCTTAGTTTGGTATCTGAAACTCTTAAAAACATTTACCCCATTGAACAAAGTTCTATTGCCAATATTTTTTGGTTAGGCAAATCTTGGGATGATAAACCAAGGCTTGCTATGATTTTATATTAAGACTATGTTCTTGCACTGAACCATTTAAAAAACAAAAATATACGTAAAAAGCCTCTCATAATCACTAATGACTTGACTATTTTGTAACCAAACTATCTGAAGAAGCTCAACAGAGAACTAGTTGATATTAAAAAGAAAATAGTGGTTAAAACTATAAAACGTAAGAGGGAAACCAAAATAGTTGATATCAGTGCAAGTGCTTCATAAAAATATTACATATTAACTATTATTATCGAAAAGATTCAGGTTTAAAAGTTCATTATCGAAAGTGAGAGATTTGAGTGCTAAACATAAAAAAATAGAAAAATATATTTACATAATTAATGAATATAATGTTATAGTTTTTACTGACATTCGGCTGCGTTCTAGAATATTGAATTCAGAATTGAACTGGCAAAGTATAAAATCTACGGGAATGATAGAAACCCTAACAATAGTACTCTTAATATGGGGGGCTGTGTTTCAATTGCGGTAGATAAGAAATATCAAAGCCTACTATTAGATTCCTCGGATGATGTACAACACCTCTTTGTTCGTAAATATGATAGAAAAATCAACTTAATTATCAGCATTGTTTATTTTCCACCTCAAGTTGGAGTTAATACTTTTACTTCTCAGTGTAACAATGTTGAATCTTTTGATTTAAATTATTCTAATATTGATTGGCTGTTGTCGGGGGACAACAATCTACCAGATTTTTGACAGAACAATTTTACGTCAAAAAGAGAGTTCTAGGATATTCTCTGATTAATAATGTAGTTAATTGCTTAGATACAACTCTAGATTTAGAGTTTACAAATTTGAAACAATTGTCACGTGATGCAGGACACAAATCAATTGTCTCAGAGGACCTTTTCCATCCAACACTCGACATAGAATCCATGAGGTGATCAAGTGCTGGATTCTTGATGGCAGATTATGATGAATTGAGAATACATTTAGAAAATGTATACCGATCTAAATAATGATAATCTTACACTCTCGGAAATTACTGAGATATTCTACAATAGATAGTACTATTATATTCTATATTCCAAATACGAGAATTGTCAAATCAAAATAGGTCATCTTGGTACAGCGCTGAACTATTCAATCATTTTCAAAATAAAGACCCAAAGATTATTAAAGACTCCAATAATCACACAATACTTATAGATGAATTGAAATTATTTGGCATTAAAGGCTCTTAATGAAGTTGGTTTTTCTGATAATATAAAAGGTAAAATCCAGTATGTGAAGTACAAATAATTCAATTCTAGAGAAATTCTGAGAACCCCAAGGTTCTCATCTTGGACCACTTATGTTCATAATGTTTATAAATGATCTAACATTTAAAAATGTAGAATTTTGTTCGTTTGCACACAACTTAAAATTTTTTAAATCCATTACCTCTCAAAATGATATTTTAGATCTTCAAAACACGCCCAATGTACCAGCAATGAGTTATTTTCGACTGCAAAATGACATTTAAGGAACATATTGATAAAATGGCTAATAAATCAATCCAAACGTTAGGTTTTTAGAAGGATTTGTAGAAAGCCAAATTCAGCAAAAGCATTCATATCTTGGTATTTACATCTGGTGAGACCTTTACTGCTGTTTGCTTCATCAACATGGAATCCAATTTTAACACACATAAAATGTTTAGAAACAGTCGAGCATACATATTTTAGAATGATATCTCCCTACTATAGACTACCTGATCCGTTTATAAACATGAAATATCATCTATTGTTGAGATGAAAGTTTATTTATAAACTGGTAAATGGTATTATTTCAAGCCCTTTATTATTATTATTATTATTATTATTATTATTATTATTATTATTATTATTATTATTATTATCATCATCATCATCATCATCATCATCATCATCATTATTATTATTATTATTATTATTATTATTATATGATTTGAATTTCAAGGTACCAAATAGAATAAATAGACAAACCAAACCATTTTTTGATATCAACTAATTCATTACATACAGAAAATAATCCTCTCACGTGAACATGTAACTTGTGTACCTTACAAATAATAGGAATAAGCCAAGTTGTTTCCAGTGCGAATGCCAAGACAAATTCTCAGATATGAATGAATAATTTATGTATAGAGTCGTGATCATAACTTATTAAATTCAATATTTGCATTCATTGTACAGACGAACTGATGTTGAAAGCAATACACTGGTCAGTTTACACACAAATATTATCTTCATTTTCTCTGTACTTGACCAAAAAAGTCTATACATTAAATGAATGGAATAAAATAAAATTAACATTGATGTTCTTGATTTTGGTTTGAGTGGTTTTATAAAGTGCTTGAGATCCATGACCCACACATTCTATTTTCAATTGTTAAATGTTCATGCACTGTATGTTTACTATAAATAATAGTTATGAATGCAAAAAATGTTAAATAGTTTATTATATTAATACATTTTTAGGGTTTAAGTTTGCTCAAATTTTATTAGAATGAATCACTTCTCAACTGTACTTTATGTTTTTATTCTGATGTATATATTTATTTTGTTATTGTATATTTGGGCAGGATATGTCTGTATAGTATAAAATAAATAAATAATCTTCCTTCACGATTTCACCTTTTCTGATTCTAAAATAAATGAAATTTTCTCCCATCGTTTAATAGCTTAAAGTATGGGATTCTCCATCTGTTTTTGACTATATTCGTTTCGTAAACCCACTTTCTATTATTTCTGAAATCAAATAAATTATAAAATATAGTTGGAAATCATCATGAACTGCTGAAAACAAACGTTTTATCGAGTTGGGAGAAATTGTAAACTTCCCACTCTTATTATAATAAAAATATCATTACCCTCTCTTCATCAAAAAATGAGTACATAGTTGCTTTGTCAATGACTTCCATCAGTGGTTGGCAAGGACTTGAAGTGACCTTAGATCATTTAAAATTTTTTATGTTGGTGTAAATACATCTGCAATTTCCAATGTTGCACATTTTGGTGAATTTCTAATTGATCTTGTAATATTGTTTATTATGTACCTAATTCTGCATATTAAAGCATATTATATCCCTTATTGTTTGTATGTGTCTAAATACATCAAACTTATAGTTTCCAAAAATAATTTCCCCTTATTTACACCACTTTCCCTATGGTCACATGAAAGTGTAAAAGAGTGTATTTTCTGAATATATTTTGAATGAATTTGAAATTTTAAAAAATACATAATATCAAAGAGAAGCTTTCACCTAATTTAAAAAGTTACTTTTAAAATATGCAAGTGAATGTATACCTGCTGATAGAGCGACGGGCCAGGGCTCCTAGATGCACTGTTCATATTTGAAGTACGCTGCATTGTCCTATCTTCGTATCGAGTACCTCCCTGACTTGCCATAGGACGATTTAATGTACTGTTGGCATTATTTGGCGAGTTAGGGCCAGCATTTCTGGCAGCAACCGTTTTTGTAACAAAGTCCTGTTCTTTCCAGCCATGTTTCTTATACACTTCACGTAACTCCTGATGCTGCCACATGGTGAAGAGAACTTGACCCGCAAATTTGAGTACACGTGGGGTGTACTTCTGTCTGTGCCTTGTAATTGTCATTAATCGTTCCACTCCACCAGCTTCCAGCAGAGATCTGTAAGCAAATATAACGTATTAGGCATGTTGTTAAAAAACATTTTTTCCTTCAATAATATATACAAACTTAGAAAACAATATACCTGGAAAATTCGGCATTCTTCTTAATAACTTCATTGAGTGTTGCTAAAACAGCTGCAATAGTGTCATCAGACGTTCCCTGATCATGTTGTGGATTTCCTGAGGGTAATTTTTGAACAAGGTCCCTCATTGCATACTTTCCTGGAAATCACAAAACAAACCATTTGAAAAAGAAAAAGATGACAAACATTTTTATTTCTGTGTATTTCAGAAGTGCTACTTAGAACAAATATAATTTATTTATTTGCACGTAAACCATTCACATTAATTTTTTTGAAATTTTTGAAAAATACTTAATTCCAAGAGAACCTGTCATGATTTGTGGTGTCGAACATTTTACTTTTAGTTTATATGCCGTTTTTAATTAATTTATTTAGGATTGTTTTTTAACAAACAGTTCATCAGTGACACCATCATTATATGAGAGTATAAACAAAACGTATTACAGTTATATTAAAAATTAACATGCCAAAATTATTTTCACTTTCTTAAAATATATGGTATGTTTAATCTAGCTTATGTCTATTACAATATTCAGTAGTTATTTCAGTAAACTGTTTAATTTTGCTATTTTTAACACATTTGTACTGAGGGATATGCCATGTGGTTAACTCTTCCACCGTGGTCAATAAAGCCATTATTTAAAACGTAAAACAAAAACTATTGTACACATCAGTTTGAAACTGAAAAAATCTTGTAGTACTGTCATTCCTCTTTACGACTGTATGTATTTAATGATAATTTCATTATAAGGTGGTAGTGAGAATGAAATTTAAAGAAACACATGTCAATTTTATATTTTTGTTTAAGGTAACAATGTTACAAAATATGGAGGGAAATGCAGTGAACTTCATATGACAACAATACTGGTGCACTATAATTATATTTTGTTCAGATATAGTTCCATATCTATCTATTTCTGCCTTTCTTTTTCAAAACATAGTGGTAAAAAAAATTATGAAAAATAATGAAATTCAGTTGAGGCACAGACTTTCCTGTATTAGTTTTTTATTTCCTTTGGACTCGGCTAGCTATTTGATCTTGCCATAAGCTCTAGCCAGCTGCCATCTATCATAGCCCAAAGTACATTTTTCTTAATTTTTCATTTTCCTAATAATAGTTGGGAATGTTATTTTATGAATATTAAAGAACAGTAACACCTCATCCTAAATTGCAATTTTCTTTGAAACATTTAGAAAAGGGCTACTGTAAATTCGAAATTTGAAGCTACCTCCCAACAAATTTTTGAGTGTATGAAAAATTTCATTTGAAGTCATTCAAAGTATTTTAACTCAATACAATAGTGTTTACAAATTTATTGGAGATTTGCATATTAATGGCGTGAAGGATCATTCAAAAAAATTACATTTGTGTAATAATTGAAAAACAAAAAAATGAACTCCAAAATGAACTTTATGTCATATTAAAGAGTGGAATTAGCACTATCGTTCAAACGTTCAAAAACTTCACGTTCAAAAAGTTTGAAGAAAAAATTTGATGCTGTTTTTTGAGAAAATGGCATTTCAGCGTTTATGAAAATGCGAAATTTTGAGCTAGTTTTCACAGAAAATCGTTGAGTTTTCCACAAACTTTATATGATATTACTTAAAGCACACGTACTCACAAATACAATAAAGTGAACAAATTGCGTTAATATAGATATTAACAACATGAGAGACATTTCGTTGATTTTTGAAAAAACAAAAGAATAGAGCAATATGTCATCTTATAGAATCCACTTAGCACTATCCCTACCAAAAGTTTAAAGAAAAAATTGTAAGTCTTTTTTAGAAAATATTGTTTTTGTAATTTTTTAAAATTGCACGTATTGCTTGAAACGTTGAGTGAAAACTACTAAAATTTTTAAAAAAACGTACATGACCTTAATGAAAGAACTCGCTATGAAGAAAAAAAATGTATTTTAAAGAAAAAATCTCGATCTTCAATTTTGTTGTAGGAAGATGCCCAAAAAGAATTTTGAAATTTTCGAAAATCTGAGTTAAACCTGAAAATCAGACCTACACCACCTTCTTAAGCTAATTTTACTCTTTGAAGAAAAAATCTGGATCCATTTTTGAGCAAATTATGAAAACGTCCATGGGTTTCATGTAAAGAACCCTCATGTAAAGTTAAAGAATGTTTGTCAAAATCTCAAGGCCGCCACTCGCGCCAGATGGACAGGGGACTTCAAAATGGAAGTGCTAGCAGGACTCCAAAATGGAAGTGGAATCATTTAAGTGCTAGCAGTGTTCACAGACGGATGAAGAAACAGACGGGCGTTTTGGGAAAAAAAAGAAAAGAAAAGAAAAAACACACACACCACTTTCCCGGTGACAAGGGACCTCAAACGTGTATTTGCAGTGAAATCTCAAACTTGTTTTTCCGCAGCATTACATAACTTTCTCTATACTATGAATGCTATGAATACTATGAACAATACTCCATATATATGTTGTAAGTCACAGTCAATTTGACAGCTATGTCTTCTAAACATCTGCATATGTTGTTAATAGCATGAACACTACTTATAATGAAAGATGTTCTGAATGTAATCGACAACGACTGAAAGTACAAATTCCTAATCGCTTCCTAGAATAATTGCAAATACTTGGAAAAAGAAGAAGAGAAGAAGAAGAAGAGGAGAAGAAGAAGAGAAGAAGAGGAGAAGAAGAAGAAGAAGAAGAAGAGGAGGAGAAGAAGAAGAAGAAGAGGAGGAGAAGAAGGAGGAGAAGAAGAAGAAGAAGAGGAGAAGAAGAAGAAGAGAAGAAGAAGAAGAGGAGAAGAAGAAGAGGAGAAGAAGAAGAGGAGAAGAAGAAGAGGAGAAGAAGAAG